GGAGCGCAGGCGGGTGCGTCGCAGGCAAAACGTAAAAAAAAAAGGGCAAAAACAAAAACAAAAATAAAGTGCACATCCGACATAAAAAAAAAAAGAGTTACTCCTCTCGACTGTTCACATTTTTTTTTATCAACGAAGCAAAAGCGAAAAGAAGGCGAAGAAAAACAAAACAAAAAAAACATTGGGACACGTGCGCAGACACGCGCAGACAAGCCTCGTGGAACACTCTCCCACTGACACGCATGTACAGCACGAAGGAGGGGGGAGAAGGGGACAAAAAGACAAAAACAAAAAAAAAGAGAATAAGAGGCAGGGAGGAGCCGTGCCACGCAGCTCAGCGTCTGCACGGAAAATGCAGGTGGCAGCGGCTGCCCCGCCGGAAGACTCGGGCGGCGGGCGCGGTGTCGTTGCCAAAGCGGTCCATCAGCTCGCCGTAGTCGCTCTCGCGCAGGTGGTGCACCACGACGGAGTTCGCGGTGGTCGGGCGGTAAAACCGGCCCTCCGTGGCGTCGTGAAAACTACACACCTTCTCGCGCGCGTACACCACCGGCGCGTAGCGCGACCACTCAATCGCCCGCCCCATCATCACGTCCTCGTTCAGCATAATGAGCGCCTCGTACTCGCTGTCGGCCGTGTCCTCCGGGCGCAGCACCGCGCGCCGCAGCCGCGCGTACGACACCACATGCTGCGCAACGTCCCGCGCCAGTGTCACGCACAAGCCACTGGCGTAGCGGACCTTTGCCGCCGACGTGAGCAGCAGCCCCCAGTAAAGGCCGCGGCGGGGCAGCGTGGGGAGGTCGGCAAGGAACTGCGGCACACGAAGAAACATGTCATCGTCGCCCTTCGCAAGGTACGGGACGGTGGGAAACATGTGCAGCGCCAGCTCTAGCCAAAAGTACGTCTTGCGGCTCAAGCCAATCTCCGCCTCAGAGCCCCAGTACCCATTGCCGCCAATGGTCTTGTTCGTTGTCACACGCCCCTCATTCATTGGCAGCGCGACCACGTCGTTCCACAGCGCTGCCTCCTCCAGCAGCGCGGCAGAGTAGTTGTAGCCGTGTACCGGGTTGCGCCCAAGGACGTACAGCACAAGCATCGCACCGGTGAAGTCATTCTGCCCGCGTCGCCACACCGGGGAAGCGCCAGCACGTCCACCGCTGCAGGTTGCGTCGCCGCCGCCTCGGCTCGTCGTCCACGGAGGGGATGCCCAGCACGACCAGGTGCTCGTGCCGGCGCCACATGCGCAGGTGGCCGTGCGGGAGGCCGCGGAAGGCCTCCGCGGCGACGCCGGTGGGGGGGCCCTGCGCGGCGAGGGCCGGTGCAGCGGCGGCCGCGGGCGGCTGCGGGTCCTCCCCGAAGCCGGCGCAGAAGGTGAGGAGAAAAACCGCCACAGCCGCGGCCGTCAGAAGGAAAAGGCACGCCGCGACCCCGCTGCGGTGGCTTCTCTTTCGGGAGCTGAGGCTTTCTTGCTGCCGCATCACGGACAGGTCTAAAGTGAACTTTCATCTAACAAAACGCAGGAGGGGGCAGAGGAAGCGCAAGAAGCGCGGCGTACGTCTCCACGACTTTTCTCGGCGGGGCCTCCTCGTGCCCCCCCCCCTCCCCCGCCAGCCGGCAATGCAGAGGAGTCCAAGACAACTTCGCACCAGCCATTACTAATTTACAAACACGGAAAAAGTGGAATTGCTGCAGGCACCGCCCCACTTCGCAGCGCCCACGTCGTTTACTCCCCGACCCCGCAAAGTCCCTCCCGCGGGAGTGTCCTCCAGCAGCCATGCAACCCCACGCGGCATTCACGCGCAGCCGCCGCGAAAAAAGTCGCCGGCGGCAGCCGCCCCCTCCCCCACCGAAGCGCCCAAACTTCCCCCGAGTCCTCCGGCAGCCACGCGCCTGCCGCCGACGCCGCGGCGGTTGGTGGCTTTCCCGGCGGACAGCCGTCGGCGCACTCCCCGGCCACTTGCGACGCCGCCCCCGCCGCAGCCGCAGGGCGCACGTTTCATGCGGGACGCCGTGCAAAGTGGCGCTGCCTCCCGCAGGCGTTGCGCAGTTTTTGTTTGCGTTTTCTTTTGTCTCAGTGCGAATGTCTGCACCTCCGTGGCGCCTCACTCGCGGCCGCACTCCACTCACGCACACACACACACACACAAGAGCCCCGCACGCACGCCGCAGCAGACTGCACGGCGCAGACGAAGTGCGACGCCCCCGTCCTGCGAGGGATGGAAGACACGCGGAGGAGACACGCCATGGGCACAGCGCACACCCGCAGCCGCAGCCGCAGCCGCAGCCGCAGCCGCAGCGAGAAGGACGGGGCAGTTACAAAGTCTGGCGCTGCTCCGTCCCCACCGACTGCCATGGCCTGGGTGCACCGCACCG